AGTGTAAGTTTTTTAGCTTAAAAATTTGCATTTATTATTAAATTAAAATAATAATAATTTATTATAATTTCTTGAATGTAGTTTTAATTTTTTAAATTGTGTCATAGGTTTTTAGTTTTACATTGAATTTTTATTTATTTTATATATACATTTTTAATCAAAAATTAGAAAGGTTTAAAAATTTTTTTCTACACATTTACATACTATGTTTGTGCATAAATGAAATCGAAAATTTCATAAATTTCATTTGCTGAAATGACTCAATTATAAGAATTGCATTCAGAAAATATGAAGAATATGTGCGCGTGTGAGTATCTATGCGTTCGCCTAAAGTAAATAAAACACAATTGAAATTGATATATTTATGTATGCACTGTGAATTTTGATAATAATACAATTTATGATGAAAATARTAAAAATTAAATGCAACAATAACAAATGTGCGCTGCAAATAAAGCGGTGAAATTTAGAGGAAACTCGCGTATAAAACTCATTAGGTTTTATGCTGTAAAAATATTTACATTATAACGGTATATGTATGTAAACAGATAATTTATAATTACGTAACTAGAGAAAAATGGGTGCCATTGTGAAAGCTAACTCTACGAGCCAATTGTTGTTACGTGCCAAAAGATGTACTACATACATATATACAATATGCATGTGCTGAAGCTAAACGCCAAATTATATAATAAAATAAATAATAAAATTTAAAATAATTTAACAAAAACGAATATCTGTATGTATAATCTAATATGTGAAAGTTTGTAGATTAGAAATACTTTATAAGCAACGTGGATATTTGAAAAACTATACACTTATACACATACATACATGTATACAGAACTACGCATGATTTTATTATTTAAGCGCTTCATACATACTCGTAGTATTACACATATTTAGTATTACTATTATTAAATGCTTTATACACATACGTTCACACATACTTGCAAACGAGCATACATACAAATATATACATTAGGGTGGTCCTCATATATTGATAAAAAAAATTGTATTTTTAAGTTTTCACTTTTCTCATAAACAGTAAAGTTTTTGTTGTTATTACAGCGGTAAATCGACAGAATTTCGAGGAACGCTACCGAGTTATTAGATAAAAATTCGGATTCGTTCCGTTAATCGTAAAATTAAAACATTTTTAAGGACCACCCTAATGTACGCATAAACTGAAATACATACATGATATGACTGCATACCAATGAATTCAACAGCGAAAATATATAAAAAAAACAAAAAAAAACAAAATTCCAAACCTAACAGCTTTGTAAGAGTATACGCTTAACACTATTAAAGCCAAAGGCCTGCTAATAGTATGTGCCAAAATTTTCTATGTAACAAGTTATATGTCCCGCAACTAACAATGCGCAGCAACACACACACTCACAGATACTTTCGTATTCTAATGCACTCATGCACCCAAATATACACACATCTACACAAAAACATACTTGAAGCCATTAATGAAATATATGAAAAAGGATAAAATTTGTACTTGTTTTTGTATTCGTTTACAGCCAAAATCTAAACGCATAATTAACTTAAAAACAAATGT